ATATATATATATATATATATATATATATATATATATAAGTTTGTATGTCCTGAAAGAGTTAATAAGAAATTAATGAAACATCTGCGTGGTGATCGATGAAGATATGACAAGGCATTGATTAAGTTGTAAAGCATGATATATTGTGGGTTCTTTAGATTAAAGTTTGAGGTGGAAGAATGCACCAGCAATAGACAAGTGAAATGAAAATGATGCAAACGAGATGGTGGAGGCTGGTGGAAGTAAAAAGGTGAAATGGAAAGTGTATGTCATTATGGAAAGTTGCAGAGTGCTATTGTAGGTTTTAATATAATAAATGATATGGAGAATATAAAACAATATCATCCTCTCCTACATACCTGACCTACATCTCACTTGTTATTATTTTTTGGCAAGAAAGAAAGAAATATATTTAGTCAAATGTAAACAATCATCATCCATGAGATATGAGAAATCTTAGATATGCATGCATTGGTATGATGGTTATAGCACATTCAAATCTCATATCATCCGCGAGATAACATCTATCCCAAAAGTTCAATTTGAAACAATCCCTTTAATACTAATGACATATATGCGTCCATGATGAGGACATAAGTGCAAACATCAAGGAAAAGATAAAGAAATAATGTTGTTGGTTTATTTATCAGCATCTTTTTCAACATAAAAGATGATGAATCCTCTTTTTTTTTTTCTTTTAACTTCAATTTATATCTATAAAATATTATCTAATTATAATGTTTCTTAATAGATTTATGGTTTTTTTTTTGTTACTGAACCAAAACACTATAACTCTATTAGAAAAATGATAACCGAATGTTCAAAATAGTTCAAATCACCATTAGCCATGGTATATGTTTTCAGATTTCATTAAATGATTTATATGTGAGTGAGTGGTTTCCAATGGAAATTAAGCTCGCCGTGAGTATTATAAAAATAGGGGTTTTATTTGAAAAAAAAAATACAAATATGAGGTATTGTAAAAGGATAATTAGCTCACGGATAAAGAATATGCTCCTTTGGTTCCAATGATTTAAAATATTCACTTCAAGCTAAAATTGTGAATGCGAACACAAAATGACATTAGGGTATGGTTGTGAAAGGCGACAAGTGTGGCTGCGCGTGAAGGTCGCTGGTGGAATCACTTCGAAAGAATGATAACGATGACTCAGTTTCAGACAGGCTGACGTGCAAAAAAACAAGCTTTTAGTCGCAAAAGATTCTCCAAATCAATTACTTCGGTGGCCGCCAATGTTTAGATAGAGTTCAAATCGGACTCTATTCGGACACCAAATTAATTAAGGAATTGGCTTCTTACTCTATTCCCTGCACTTACTTAAATTGAGGAAAATAAACGAGACTAGGTATATATTGAACGTAGATAGTATCGTCTCTAAGAGAGAGAGAGAGAGAGAGATGCTGTGGAGACAAGGGGAGTGGATGTGTGAGTTGTGAGGGTAGAAAAAGAAAGGAACTGTGAAATTGAAGACGGTCTGTTGTTTCATATTGTTGATTGGGAAGTTATTACAGTTTGATTTTGTCCTGAAGATATAAGCTTGTCCTGATGGCTCATGTGGTGGCCATCAGAGATAATTGGAGTAGGTGGAAGGTTCGGTTGAAGCAATCCTGAAGTGTTGTTTGTACTCCCGAGGTGGATTCCATGTCGGATTGAGGTGATATGGGTTTCCTGATGAGCTAAGGTGCATCTTAGCTTCGTCGGGAACCCTGCACAAGTGATCATTATTGATGGAGTTTTTAACTCGACTTCTCCGATAATAAAATTAGTTTTGAAGGGAGTGGAAATAGTAAGGTTTTTTTATGTGTCGGTCTCCTCTTCAGACTTTGGGATTGGCTTTTATACTTGAGTAATTGATGAGAGAGGCTAGTGGGTGATCAGCATATGCTTATATGTCTTTCAAAGGTTCATTCATATCAATAACCGACGAGTACATCTTCCCATGGCATGTCGTCAGTAAAAAACGATTGTAGAGGCATCATTTGTTAAGGCTAGCGCTTGCTTGGGATAAGCGGATAATGATCGTCTACGCTAGGCTATCATAGACTTAGTTGGTTTTGCTTAAGTCATGCGATACCCTTGCATGTCCGTCCGTAAAGGTCAGCATCCCCGAAACCTTCTATGGTCTCTTAGGGTTTACAAAAGAGAAAATAAGTTAACGAAAACATCTCACTCGAGATCCACAAGCAATCATTTTAGTAAACACTTCATAGCCAATGCAAATTATAAACAAACTTTACAAGTTCTAAATGGTCACATAACAAAGGGTACAAATGATCTATTATAGACTGAACATCTCTCACAAATGTTCACATAACACAACATTTATTTATAAGTCTAAACCACCAAATCTAACTAAAATAGGATTATTAAGCCTACAATCACCCATTTACATGCTGTGTAAAGTATGAACAAACCTTATGGTTAGTCAGAGGTAAAAGATCATGACCCTTTCACCCTTCTCGGTAGGAAAGGAAGATACGTGGGTTCTTCTAGTAACATTTTTATCCAGATGATGGTGGGTTATCAAATAAATCAATAGGTCATATTCTCTAAAATTATCCTCATGTGATAGAAAAAGAGAAAGGAAATTTTTTTCTTCATATTCTCTTGTCTTATTTGTTTAATGTAAAGATTACTTTGTTTGTCCACCACAAATCTCTCCTAAGTGCTATCTCCATTATTGAAGCTTTCAAATAACAAGTTTAATATGCGTTTTTTCCTAAAATGGAAATGATAAGCAAATATTTAAGCATGTACTGTTTGTCTCTGAATTAGTTTATGTGCTTTGCAAAAAATTACAAAATTCTTTTTTTTAACAGGTTTCTAAAAAGAAATAGTTTTGATAGTGTAAATGTGCTATATCTATCATGTACGTGTTTAATATTTTATTATTTTGGTGTTTTTAAATTCATAGTGCATTAATTTCCAATTATAACAACCCATTAAGATGGTAAACAATTGCCATTAGTCACTTTCGGGCTCATCAAATAAAAGCGACATATATTCTTTTAAAATTTCGATCCTTATCACTATCGAAATGTTTTTTATTTATTAATTGAAGGTTATTATGTGGATGCTTTCATCAGCTGAATCCGTTGCAGATTATAACGTGTGTAGTGCTGATACATCGATTCTTCTTTGTTTCATTCAAAGTATTGAGGATTGCTTCATTATATTAATGGTCACTGAAATCATAATCTTAATGTGATATATATGCATTGATCTTGTTGACAAAAGTGATACTATAATTTGTGAGCTAGATCGTTACTTCGTCATTATATTCTTAACAGCTTATATTGTGTGATGTTGACGATTGTTGGAGTGATTTGATTAACTCGATTTGGTTCGGACTATGTCTATGGCAGACTATCCGATTCCATCTAATGTGCTAGAAGCTAGCCTGGGTGCCAAGAAAGTTTCCGGGTGTGATCCTTTAGATACTCAAGTTAAACTTCCTAATATATGTTTGGAAAGAGAAAAAGAAAAAGAATACAATTGGAAAGATAAAGTGATAAAGAATTCAACCATGTGTCCGAACTCTGGATGAAGGCTAATGAGCTGTGTTATTGCCATTTAGAGCATTGCAATTGATTGTCGTGAAGATCATCTTGCTCTGACACCGACACCAATTTACCGATTGGTAGGATGTAATTTTCTCTAACAGAGAGAACAAGTAGGAGAAGGAAAAATTCTACTAATCTAATGCTATTTGGTTGCATAATGATGGAAATATAAAGAGGAATAACCTTTGTATATGAACAAATACTAGAATACCATAATACGCAGCGGAATAAAATGGAAACACAATCAAACAGAACACCAAGATATACATGGAAAACTCCTTCAATGTGAAGGGTAAAAACCACGGGGCAAACTAGAGATAATCCACTATGAGAATAATGAATATACAAATCTCAATCTCTTGCCCAAAACCCTAGCAACAACCACAAGAGAATAACTGGGATACAAGGATCACGTCACTGCCCACAATATCTAAAACCTCCCCAAGTAATCACAGCAAGAGTCTACTATAGATTTGATCTAACCTGAGATGAGAACACTGCTAGATGATTGAGAACAGTCTCTCTGCGTTTTCCTTGTCTTCTTCCCTTTCTTTCTCTTCCTTTTCTGCCTTGTTCTCCTTCTTCTCTCTGGAATCTCGTGGCTCTCAAGATCTGCCTTGTTGCTGCCTTTTTATAGCCTTTTTCTGCTTCTAAAACGCAGCCACCACACCCTCCTAATCTTAATTAGGGTTAGGTTAAGAGGGGGTGTAGGCTGTGGGCTGCCCTAGCCCACATGGGTTGAATTTGGGCTATCAGCCCAACAACCTCCCCCTTCAGCCCATAAGAGAGGTTGTCCCATGACTCCTCAATGTGAAGCCATGCCGACCAACTGTCGGCATATCTCCTGTCTTTCTTTTGGTAAGGTCTTCGTCAACATGTCTGCTCCGTTGTCATCTGTATGAATTTTCTGAAGCTGCAACTGCTTCTCTTCAAATACATTTCGAATCCAGTGGTATCTGACATCTATATGCTTTGATTTAGAATGAAACATTGGGTTCTTACACAAATGGATGGCACTCTAGCTGTCACAATGCACCACATAATTTTCCTGTTTCAACCCCAATTCTTGTAAGAATTCTTTTATCCATAACATTTCTTTGCATACCTCTGTAGCAACAATATATTCTGCTT